AATATTGTATTGCCTCAGACACAAACTTGTAGTGTCTCTTGTGCATTCTGATTATTATCATAATTGTCATTAATATACTAGTTTCTGGTGGCGGTGAGTGTACATAGTTTTTAGACTAGTTATATACTGATATTAATTTTGTACCATTGACCAACTTGCCATATACCAGCATTGTACCTGTTACAGTTATTGTTGTTCAATTAAGTTGATTAATTGATTGGCTGATTAATTTATGTAAGACATATCCTCATGGCAAGAGCCTATAACATTTCCACTCATAGAACATTTCCATGGCAACCACAGAAGCCACGCCCACCACCCCAGACTCACCTGCTGCTCTCGTTCCCAGGGGAGTACTGTGGGACCATCTCTGTCCCGGGTCTGTCAGGTTCCGCCCTGGTCTCGCTCCCAGAGTCCTCTGCTTCGGGCACCAGCTGTCTGGTGGAGATGGAGAGGTGCTCCTGGTTCTTCTTCCTGCCGCTGGACCGGCCTGGCCAAAGACCCGCATCTTCTTTCTTACCTGGCCACAAACCAGAGTCTTCCTTCTTACCTGGCCACAGACCAGTGTCTTCCTTCTTACCTGTCAAACAAAAGTTTTAACATTTTAAATCACTTTCACTAATTATATCACTTTCACTTTCTGGACCGGCCTGGCCACATCCCAGTGTCTTCCTTCTTTAATACTAGTAATACATCACTTTCATTTTCTGGGCTCACCTGGCTACAGTTCTTACCTGTCAGAAAAACACCTTATTACATCACTTTCTTCTAAGCTGTCAAACAAAAAATGTCTTACATAGCTGGACTGACCTGGCCACAGACCAGTGTCTTCCTTCTTACCTGGCCACAGACCAGTGTCTTCCTTCTTACCTGGCCACAGACCAGTGTCTTCCTTCTTACCTGGCCACAGACCAGTGTCTTCCTTCTTACCTGGCCACAGACCAGTGTCTTCCTTCTTACCTGGCCACAGACCAGTGTCTTCCTTCTCTGTGATCAGAAATATCATAAAATAGTACACTGTAAGGATTTTGGACAACGAACAAGACTATTTCCTGAGAGGGGTGAAGGAGGCTACACTTAACAGCAACAGGGGCCGACATCGTCTACCAGATACCTTTTACCCAGTGCTGACGTCACACTTCAAAGAAGCCACATGACAAGCTTCACTGGGTCAGTCTGCTGAGGAAGACCAGAGTGACTGGTCGAAAGCTCTATATGAGAGAATTTTGGGGTCTGTCTTACATTTGTACCTGACTCTAACCTAGCAACCTAGCATAAGCCGTTATTTTTGTAATCTAGCAACAACCTAGCATAAAGTGCTACATGTACTATCAGTATTGTAGTATCCCCGCCCGACAGGGACGACGGATGATGATGATGATTGTAAGTATATTTCAAACCATGCCCTCCCACCTTTCTTGTCCTTTGACCTGCCGCTGTCGTTGTTTCTGCCCCTCCTGTTGTTGGACCCTGCGGGGGGGGCTGGGGTCTGTCGGACCTGACTCTAAACTAGCATAAAGTGCTACTACCGGTATTGTAGTATTTTTCTGCCCTCCCACCTTCCCTGTCCTTGGTCCTGACGCTGTTGTTGTTTTTGTCCGTCCTGCTGTTGGACCCTGCGGAAGGGCTGGGGTCTGTCGGACCTGACTCTAACCTAGCAAAAAGTACTACTAAATGTAGTATAGTATTTCAGACCCTGCCCTCCCACCTTTCCTGTCCTTTGCCCTGCCGCTGTCGTTGTTTCTGTCGTTGTTTCTGTCCCTTCTGTTGTTGGATCCTGCGGGGGGACTGGGGTCTGTCGGACCCGACTTTGCTGAGTCCTTGGCGATGTTGGCGCGGATGGCAGCCAACGTTTCTTCCTCTGCATCTGAGTCGTCCCAGGACCCCAGCACTGCACACAAACAAACATACAAACAAATAAACATCTCGCTTAGCTACATGTATATTATATTATACATGTATATACCAGGACCCCAGCACTACACACAAACAAACAAACAAACAATCATATATCTAAGCTATATTGTCATCCCAGGACCCTAGCACTACACACAAACATACAAACAAAATAAACAAACAAAAAATATATATCTAGGCTATATTGTCATCCCGGCACCCTAGCACTACAAAAAAACAAAGAGGCAAACACAAATCTACAATTTGCAAAGCAAATGCATTATGTTTACCTGTATATGGTCTGTTCTGTTGATTCTTACTCAAACACATTCACATATACCAGTAATATGGTGACAGGAGTCTAAATCACTCCTGCTCTAAAATTGCAACATTATGTAACCAAACACCAGTTACCATGGTGACAGACAGTCTGGGTCAAAGGTCACTGTTTGGAGAAGAAGAAGAAACTTTGTTTGGTAAACATAATGACCTCTGAACTCTTACCAGCATTTTCACTGCTGTTGGGTTGAAGGTCAGAGTCAGGGTCGTAGGAGTGACCTTTCCTGCCCTTCCCAGGAGGCTGTCTGCTGGGTGATGGCTTATCTGTCAGGACAGGTCAGAGGTCAAGGTCATTCACGTAAACACAATTAAAAAATATACTTATCATTATGACAATTAATGAGACTGACAAGCCTTATACTGCTAGATATTAAGTTAAGGATTTTAGTATGAAAAGGACTTATTTCATATCATGAATGTGAATGCTACCATTGTCTTTTAGAAAGTACCAAGTATTGTAATGAAATCCACAATTCAGCAAAATGGCCGCCAGTGATTTCAACCTCAATAAACCATTCATTCATTCATTCATTCATTCATTCATTCATTCATTCATTCATTCATTCATTCATTCATTCATTCATTCATTCATTCATTCATTCATTCATTCATTCATTCATTCAGCTACCTGGTCCGACGATCCCCTTGAAGTCATACGGCGGTTGGTCCTTTCCTGGCTTCGCTCGCCGGTCCTTGATTGGATAACTCTCACCCTCGTTGTCATGCCGACGACCCCTGTCATTGAACACACTGATCCCTGACTTCATTCCTGATTGGCTGAAAAACAGAAAAATAAGACTCTCAGATGAGAATTAAATATTTTTTATTTGCTGGAATATGAGAAAATGTATCTGTCATGACAATTGTTCACCTGTTGGAACCATGGGTGTAAAAAAGACACAGGTGTGACATTTACTCACCTGGTGGAGACACAGGTGTGACATTTACTCACCTGGTGGAGACACAGGTGTGACATTTACTCACCTGGTGGAGACACAGGTGTGACATTTACTCACCCGGTGGAGACACAGGTGTGACATTTACTCACCCGGTGGAGACACAGGTGTGAAATTTGCTCACCTGGTGGAGACACAGGTGTGACATTTACTCACCTGGTGGAGACACAGGTGTGACATTTACTCACCTGGTGGAGACACAGGTGTGACATTTACTAACCAGGTGGAGACAGGTGTGAAATTTGCTCACCTGGTAGAGACACAGGTGGGACATTTACTCACCTGGTGGAGACACAGGTGTGACATTTACTAACCAGGTGGAGACACAGGTGTGACATTTACTCACCTGGTGGAGACACAGGTGTGACATTTACTCACCTGGTGGAGACACAGGTGTGACATTTACTCACCTGCTGGAGACACAGGTGTGACATCTACTCACCTGCTGGAGACACAGGTGTGACATTTACTCACCTGGTGGAGACACAGGTGTGACATTTACTCACCTGGTGGAGACACAAGTGTGACATTTACTCACCTGGTGGATGATGAGTTCTTGCCCACAGTCGATTGTCTGTCCGGCCGAGGACTTGGTTTGGGCTGAGAAGTTTTTGACGGGTCACCTTTGGAAAGAAATTTTTACAATAAGTAAAAATTTAATACAGAGATGTGTTTATTTCACGCATTTCCAATTCAACAAACTATCAACTGATACATTGACTGCGTTTTTGATTCAATGAATAATCGTAACATGTATCTTTCAATTGAACAAATAAGGAATGTTTTCATCATAAGGGGACAGGTGGTTAGAAATGGGGGCCTGCATGGGGGGTCCCAACAAAGCTCTATGCTAGATTTTGAGAGCTGGCTACGTACTACGCTACAGTAGTGATTACGCTTTACGATAAATTTCAAGACACGGTGGCTACAGTGCATTATGTAGAATTAAAACCCGACTTACACTGTATGCAAAATGTGCCAATTGCGCTCTACGTTGAATTTAAATCTAAGAGCGGTCCGTCTACGCTCTATGTAGAATTAAAACGGCCGATTACGCTCTACAGAAAAGGGCTTGCGGGCGCCCAGAAATGTGTACATGTACCTGCTGTTTTGGCTGTGAACATGTCTTTTTGCGGTTCTGTCGCCCGCGGCGTCTCGATAACCGATGACTTCTCCTCATCACTGCTGTCCCAGTTACTCTCACTCTCTGATAACACCTGCTGTCGCTTGTGGAGCTTTGTGGAATGAATGAATGAATGAGTGAATGATGGATGGATGAATGAATGAATGAATGGATGAGTGAGTGAGTGAGTGAGTGAGTGAGTGAGTGAGTGAGTGAGTGAATGAATGAATGAATGAATGAATGAATGAATGAATGAATGAATGAATGGATGAATGAATGAATGAATGAATGGTTTATTCAGGTTAAAACCATTTTGCTGAGTTGTGGGTTTCATTACAATACATGGTACTTTCTAAAACGTGTAAGAGGCATTATGTTGACTAAAAGGTGTCATAATGATATAATCTGTGCTTTTTGCCAAATACTCAATAAATATATGTGAATAAATAAAAATAAAAGATATCATTTACATAAAATAAGTCCTTTTCATAAATATTTAAAAATTCCAATATGTACAGCTTATATTAAGGTTTCCATTACAACTGATTAAAAATGGGTAACAGGTACTTAAGACCTTAATATCTAAATGCACATAAAGTATTTGCCACAATTGGGTCTAAACCTCTTTTAATATCAACATAAGAGGTTTGTTTACATGTTAGAATTCTCCACAATATACAAGAGGAAGGGAGGGTGAAACAGGTGTATTCAAGTGAATTTGAAGATATCTCCAAATGCTGCATTACTTTTCTCCGATGTCTGCCAATTTTAGCTAGATATCCAGATATCAAGACAATTTCTTGAGAAATTATGGCTCAGTCAAGCACCGCTTGTTTTGGTTACATGTAACGTAACATGTAGGGCACCCAGCGGAAAATAATAGTAGATAAATGTAGGGACAGATCCTGCACATGTTACCAAGTAAACAGTAATGAGAGTGAACAATAAACTCACTATTACTTTGACAAACTCACCATGGTTTGTGCTGATCTTTGTTTAATTTTTTCCGGTCTAAAATTTTTCGAGTCGTCCGAAAATTCCGCCGAAGAATCCTGATGACCTTTGACCCGGCGTGTCCCAGAATGCAGCGGGGCGTCCGTTCGTCACTGGTGGAAAATTTGGGAAGTCGGCAGCGAAAAATCCTCATCGACGGGCGAAAATAGGATTGAACTAGGGCAAAATGATCAAGCTGTTCTCCCTTAAACAACAGAAGAAAGACGGAGAGGTCGGGGGACAGAAAACCGGGACCAAGAGAGCGTCGGCAGCACAACTCCGCATAACCAAAGGTGGGACCGACATCCAGCAAACTGCTGGCCCAGAAAAACTTACCCAAACGTTTTGAGGAATTCATTATGGATCTCTGCCGTCCGTTCTCTGTTTTTAAACTAAAGCTAGAGATATGCTCAACAGATCAAACTTTGTTCAGTTTCTATAGGAAGAAACTGTCCAAACTGCTGCGACGTAACTATAGAGAGCAGGCGAAGACGTCATATTTGACTCATAATGCAAATTATACACACAACATACAATTTACAGTAGTTTTCGGTGCGGGGTGGGGGGCATGATTATGCACGAATTATTTCTAGCTGGGAAGTACACAAAACCAACAATGTGTCAAGGACAGTACTGGTGTCAGTACCATGTTATTGACATACGCCAAACGTCTACTACTTCTAAATAAAGAATTAGAAGGCAACGCCGGTGCCGGCATTTTACCGGATCATAAAATCTCTACAATCTATTGTTGAAAACAGCATCTTGTTTTGGAATATGGAAACCAAAATTCTTAGTTACTGATGAAAAATGGTGGATCTGAAAAGTCTGGTACTTAAGTAAAGAGGATTTATAAAACTATTTTATTATTTTATTTGCTTTATTGTCAATTATCATGCTAATTTGTCAATGGTAAAAATGTTCATCTTCAGAAATTTTGCTGCTTGCAAATTGCGTTGATTTCAGGTTGAACAGCCCGACTACAAATATACTCCACCTACGTACTACTAGCTACTTGCCCCACAGTTAGGCTAATCAATTGCCCCCGAAAGCAATGTTGGAAAATGATGCCACTGTTTTGAATATTGCCTTTGAATGATGTCGTTAATTTCCGTTGTCTCAGACATTAACGAGCTGCAGCTGCCGAAGACGTGTCAAACGGAGTTTCCCGACCCTGATGACCTCCTCAACTTCAAGCTCATTATCATGCCTGATGAGGTAAACAAACAAATAAGCTCATTATCATACCAGAAACAAACAAACTAGCAAGTTCATTATCATGCCTCATAAGGTTCACAAGCAAGCTTATTGTCATGTCTGTTGAGGTAAACAAACAAGCTGGTTACCATGGCAAATGAGGTAAACACAGTCCTGGCTGTTATTGTCATTGTCGTACATTTCTGGTAATTTTCCAGTCCTCACAGTGAAAATCTTGTTTTTCAGGGTTTCTACAAGGGTGGCAGATTTGTGTTTAGCTTTAAGGTAAGTTTTGCCCACCAGTGTTGTGGTATGGAGAAAGTCCGAAACTATGATACTCTACTTTTTTAGACATCTTCATAACAACATTGATACTTGTAATCATACTTTGCCTATAAGTATAAGATATGCTATTTTGGTCAGTCCAGGACCATAGCTGTTGATCTGTACATGTACATGTACACTTAGGCCACACCAATTTAACTTGTTGGTTCTCGGATTCGCCTCTTCGTTTTTTTCTGATTTGCAAAAAAAAAAAAAAAATTTGATTCTGGTCCTGAATCAACTGAAAAATGCTCATGTTTTGCCCCAACAGTTGAGGAAAGTCCTTTTCTTCCTAGTTGTTACAGTTTTCCCATCTATCATTGCAGTGGTTTGATTAAAAGTTCAAAATTCAATGTTTAAATTTTAACCCAGCCTTTTGTGTTGACTTCATGGCTCATTTTGTAGCATTTAAGCCTATAATAGGATGCCTAGACCTGTTTTTATTTTTATTTTTTTCGCCCTGTCGCTTCATATTTTTTCTGAAAAAATCCGAGAACCAACAAATTAAATTGGTGTGGCCTTAATGAGAAAGAAATTTGTAACACTCATTGATCCATTTCTCAGTTTTGACTTGTGACAATTTGTCCTTCAAGGTCGGACAGGGCTACCCCCACGAACCCCCCAAGGTCAAATGTGAGACGATGGTTTACCACCCAAACATCGATCTAGAAGGAAACGTCTGCTTAAATATTCTGAGGTGAGTTTTTGTATGTTTAACTGTTTTGTAAAGGATAGATCTAGCATGCACACAATACTGATTAGTGTATAAAGTTAGTTTTATATGTTTAAACTTTAATTTTGTCATCCCATCGATTACTATCAACATTACAGGTGATAGCATAACTACTGTCCATCATGTAACCCATATGGACAAGAAGATACATTAAACTCTCTAATTTTATAGTGTATATTGTATGTTGGGCACAATTTGGGATAACCAGGCCTGTGAGTCCCTTTCCCAATAAAACTTGAATAAAGATCATTCAATTCAATAACACAGAGACCGTCCTGCAAGCATATAATATATGTTACAATGCCTTTGGCAAATTCGAAGTCTTGCTTATGAAGCTGACTGAGGTTGCCTTATTGGCACAAGTGTTAAGACTTAAGTTACCCAAAAACAACATATAGGCAGTTTTCTGATTGGCCGACAGCTGATTTGTGGCCACACCATTACATGTACTTATTTTCGCATCAATAATCATGTTCCTATTTCTCGTCATCCAGGGAAGACTGGAAACCTGTCTTGACGATTAACTCAATCATCTACGGGCTGCAGTATTTGTTCTTGGTAAGTGGAGGGTTAATAACTGCAGTATTTGTTCTTGGTAAGTGGAGGGTTAATAACTGCAGTATTTGTTCCTGGTAAGTGGAGGGTTAATAACTGCAGTATTTGTTCTTGTTCTTGACTTTTTTTCAGAAAAAATAAATAAAAACAGGTCTAGGCATCCTTTTATTTATAGCCCAAATGCTCGATAGGAGCCATGAAGTCAACACAAAAGGCTGGTTTAATATGTAAACAATGAATTTTGGACTTTTAATCAAACAACTGCATTGATAGATTGAAAAAAAACTGTAACAACTAGGAAGAAAAGGACTTCTCTAAACTGTTGGGGGCAAAATATGAGCATATTTGAGTTGATTAAGAACCAGAATTTTTTTGCAAATCAGAAAAAAATGAAAAGGCGAATCCGAGAACCAACAAATCAAAATTGGTGTGGCCTAAATAGAAGTTTCTCTGTGTTGCTGATGTGCCCCCCTCCCCCTTCAGGAGCCGAATCCAGACGACCCGTTAAACAAGGACGCGGCGGAGGTCCTGCGGAGCAACAGGCGACTCTTCGAACAGAACGTGTCCAAGTCCATGCGGGGGGGATACGTAGGATCAACGTACTTCGAGCGCTGTCTTGTCAAGTGATTGCCTGTCGTCTGATATCATGCTATTGTCAATATTAACATTAATCTTAAAAGAAATTGAAGACAAAACAAAAAAAAAACAATCCAGAAAAAAAAACGAGTATGGTACTACTAGGAAACAGCTGGACACACCATGTGGCGAGCACGACTGACATGTGGCGCAGGCTGGCATGTTGTTTGGAACTGGAGCGAAGCGTTATTTTATGGGTAAGTTCTCAGATATTCACGGCCACACGCAAGACTGGCTGGACATTAAGAAGGAGACTTTGTCTTTAAGGAAAAGGGAGAGACTTCTTCCGCTTACTTACTTAACTATCGTAGAGCTTAGACAAGACAGAGGAACAGCACGGGTCATTCTAGTACTTGTGGTGTTCTGGGGATTTCTTTGATGTAAAAATGGGGAAAAAAATTGAGTGTCAGGAAAAAATATTTTATTGCAATCCTCTTTTACCTTACGTTGCCATTAAACATTGACTGATGAACTTCTTTCACAAATGTTTTTTTTTTTTTAAGAAAAACGCTATGAAACACTGAGACACAAATGTACTGAATGTTAGTCTATAAAACTGAAGTCCATATTGTAAACTGCTTCAGAACAGACATCTAGAAGAGAGCTTCAAGACAAAGCGGAGTTAATTTGTATACAGAAGTTGGCAGCAGTGAAAACCAGATCACTTTGTACAGTGTAGTTGTATACATAGATGTACGTATCTATGCAGGTAAGGGGTTTTGGAGAACAGTCTTTAAAAAAGTACATGAATGCAGGATTTTAGTCAGCCTTTTTTTTTGGCAGAGAAATTGAAAGTCTATGCTTTTGGTGGTGCCTCTACAGTGCTTGTAATAGTAATGAATACAGCTGCAGGGCTGGAAAAAAAGGGCCTCCGATTTGAACCCGACACAAAAAAAGATGCAGCAAAGTAACAGACATGACTAAAATAAAAATGTAGTTCTGCTGTGTCTATAGGGGAGTAAAAGGGACACGCTTCACAAAGATTATTCGACCTGCAAGAATGGTTTTGAAAATTTGCTGATAGGATTGTAAAGACGCATTATAAAGATACAATGCGTCAGTTGAGTTTTTGATATGCCCCTTTTTTGCTACTTGCGAAACCCTGTGACATGTGAACATGCTGGGCACAAGTCAGGTAAGGACAAGATTAGACCCCCCTCCATTCAATAGTAGTAGAAAGAGTGAACATACAAAAAAGAGCCATAATGAGCAGTTTATAAAAGTATATTTGAAAGCAATGTTCAGTACATCTTTAGCACCCTATTAATAATAGTCTTACAGAAGCTTCACCACTGCAAATATCCCTAAATTAGTGTGTTACATTCAGTATTTCCATATTGTCCATAGGAGCAGGCACTTCTTATCGGTATGTTTTCTGACAGGTTATTTTAAGTAATTTCTTGTACACGATTCTTGTTTCGTCAGTCGTTTCTTGTACAGGATTCTTGTTTCATGTACATGTATGATTACACTTTGTTTAAGACTTTATATATGAATAAAGCTGCCTTTACTTCTACATGTTTCACACTGGGCAAGACTGTACACTTCCGAGTAGCAGTAATCTCCAAGCAGAGCATACGGTGACAAGGCAGTATCCACTGGCCAGAGGAGTGTCCATTAGCCATCGGATGGGTAATGGATACTCTCTAGCAGCCACCAATTTGAAAATATCTGCTTGAAGATTAGGTAGCAGAGGGATGTGGCGTGGTAGAGGTTGTAGGATTTTGGAACAGTCTTTGACAGAACCAACCACCAACAAGGATCTAAGTAAGACTGCCTTTTTTGAGTCTCCACCAGACTCTTTTTCAGGCTGAATAAATAGTAGAAATTGGACTAAAAAGAATGTAGCTGGCAAGAGGAGTTTGCCAGCCATAGAGGGTCCAGTTTGCCTGCCAACTCCCCTGGCCAGCTACATTCTTTTTAGTCCGATTTCTACTAGTTATTCAGCCTGCAAAGATGTCTGGTGGAGACTAGCCTTTCTTCACTACAAGACAGTTGAATTGTGCAGTACAAAAGGATGATATCCTAAGAATGGCCATCGTACGATGATTGCATGACGGAAGTGACTGTGTCGTCAGTTTGCCAGTCGATGTTGATATGCCTCGAAGGCTGCTGTTTGGTACCGCTGGGCTGCACTGGCTGGGTCTGGATCCTACAGGCACATGGGGAGGGGAGGACACAGGAGTCAGAACAAAGAACACAACATTACACCAAGGAGGTTAAATATAATTTAACCTTGATTACACTTGTCATCTGCCAACAATATGGGGTCAACATGCATCAGTTAAGACCAAGAAACTATGTCATGTACGTCGGTGAAGGTTGGACATCCAGGTAATAAGATATGCCAAGAAACACAGTGGACTAACAACCCACTGCCTCTATGGCATCAAAAAGGCTCTTGAACTATGTTTTACACCAAATGCTGACCGACCTTGTACACCCCCCTCCCCACAATGACAAAACCCACCGACCTTGTACACCCCCCTCCCCACCGACCTTGTACACCCCCCTCCCCACGATGATGACGTCTGCTCTCCTGGTGACCACGGCATCCCACGGCGACACGTACTGCTGACCCAGGCCATCACCTGACCCCGACAACTGGACACCTGCAGCAAAAATTTTTAAAAAATTTAACTAGAAAGGTAAAGCAAATGCATAATGTTTACCTTCACATATGGTCTGCTCTGTTACTCAAACACATTTATATATGCATATATAACATGTATATGATGACAGGAGTCTAAATCCCTCCTGCTATAAAATTGCAACATGATGTAACCCAACACTAGTTACCATGGGGACAGATGTCTGGTTCAGGTCATTGACCTTATTTGTTTGGAGAAGAAGAGGAAGAAACAGCAAAAACAATATGTTTTCCTCCTGCAAAGGTAACCCAATATGTTTAAGTTCAGAAGATTCTAGAACTTTCTACATTTAGTTACATTTTGGGGCTGGTGTGCCTTCTCACAGGATCTATCAAGGTCAAAAACATAAGAAAAGCATTTTGAGAGAACCCGAGGTCATGACCTCTGACCTGGTGTCATGTGAATGAAGGTGGGGTCCTCCGTGAGCTGTGATTGGCTGATGAATCCCACCACGAAGTCTTTATGTTCCTCGGCCATCTTCACAGTTGCTGCAACAGATGGAGAACATAAAATGTATCATACTTTCAGAGGGTACCATAGAACACATCAAAGGGTACCATGGAACACATTAAAGGTACTTTTGAACACATCCAAGGTACCATGGAACATATCAATGGTACAATGGGTACCATGGAGTACACAAAAAAGGGTACCAAGGAACATATCAAAGGTACCATAGAATACATCAAAGTGTACCATGGAACACATCGAAGGTACAGTACCATGGAACACACGGAGGTGCTGTAAGTACTTTTAGTGAACTCTGGAAGACTAGTCTTTTGGCTAAAGGGTATCGAAATAAAGAGAAACTAGAGGTCGGAGATCTCATGTCTTCGTCAGAGGTACATCGTTCTAGAGAAATTAACATGCGTATTCTTCACTCTTTTTATGGGTTCACCACACCACGAAGTGGTTTCAGCTTCTTCATTTTAGGGCCCAAGGTCCTGAAATTTGGTATGGAGGTACAGTGGGCAAATACCCCTAGGCGTTTTTTAAATTATTGTGATACAGGCTTTTAGAATGGTTTTATTTGAGTTTTTTGGCTGTGTTATAGCAAATGTATTACTGTGTTAGTGTGCCTTGTTTACCACGTTTGGGCATGAGTCATCACAATGGAATGCAGGGCATCAACCAATAGGCATGCAGCTTTCCTCTATACTTCTTGCTGATTGGCTGTTGGGATTTAACTTGATTAACACCTGCACAGAGCATTTCCACCTGCACAGAGCATTTCTTGCTGATTGGCTGTTGGGATTTAACTTGATTAACACCTGCACAGAGCATTTCTATACTGACAGTATGTCTGTATTCAAGTGTTTTGGTAGGTATTTCAAGCTTTCCTGCTCCAGCATTGGAATGCGGGGCATGGACGTTTTTTTTCAATTTTGAAAATTAACAGTTTGCATTATGCAATTAAAAATCCTAACCAATAAAGTAGGGAATGGCTATCCAACTGTTGTTTTAGTTGTATTTTACTTCATATTATAGTTATATCAATGTAAATCATTGTTTTCCCTTGTGTTTCTCATTCTTTCCCTGCCATGTCGTAAAATGTGGTGAACCCATCGCTGTGTTTGCTCCAAAGGCAAATATTGGCCTTTCTAGTTAATAATCAATTTGGTCTAAAGAACAAAAGAATCTCTGTACTATTTTTATGGTACAGAACACCCTGAAACGGTTTGCCGCAGATTATACAGATGCGTCGTCACCCGTGTTGCCACACCCCCCCCCTACGTTATTTGAGTTTGGACTGTTACTGGAAAAAAAACGTTCAAGAAATTCTTACTGTGTTGAAAGTGTCACGACAGCGCCGCAAAATATAATAAGAGAAGATGTTATAAAGGAAAGAATCAGAACAGGGTGACTACTGCTGTTTTGTTAATTTGTCTTTATGACAAATAGAAGACTTGTTTCTTGTGTTCTTTGTGTCCTAACATTTGTACTTCTACAGTTAGTATATTCCAAATCTAGGCATCTCGTTTTTCGGCCCTTCGTGTTTTTATTGCGCGCTTGCCTTAAATTTAAGGTAATTAGATTTAAGGTCTCCAGTGGACGTCATCCATAGCAATTACTTGGTGTGGCCGTAGAAAATAACCTGACATATGTCCAACCTATCCTCCCCCTGCTGAAGTTATAGTACAATCCCTCAATGTAACGTCATTTGATCCCATCCCATTATGGGGTTCCCCGGCTATATCCAGCTGTCGGCTGTCTCCAAGCAGATGTAGGTGGGGGATTTCTAAACACAAAAGGTCCTATTACGGGGACATAACGACTTCCACGACTCTCATCTTTGAACTCAATCTTGGAGACCACCACAGTAACATGCCTATCAAATTTCATTAACTTCCATTTACACATACAAAAGTTATCCTGCTCACAAGAAAAATTAACAAAATGCCCCCTGTAGTCACAACAAAACCCCCCACGAAGCTCAGTAACGAACTTAACCTTGGTCCCGACAATAGTAAGCAACACACCAAGAATTATAATCAACATTTTACAAATACTTGAGTTATCTTGCTAACAAGCCACAAACACAAAAGGTGCACTAACGTGACGCACGGACCCCCCACGAAGCCGAAACTTGTACTTGACTTTGGCCTCAACAGCGGTAATCTGCCTGCCAAAAATCATGGACGTCGAATCATGCCTTCCAGAGTTATATCGCAAAATCCGCAGTTCCCCACACTCCGGCGAGACAATTTCATAGTCCTTCTGACGAAGACAATTACCTTTAGTATAGTCTCCTGTTGCCAGGTTTCCTTTTGAGCTCATCTCAGCAATCAGCAGACAGGCTCTCTTCTTATCCAGGCCAACCTGAAATCATTGACTATTGTTAATTATGGCCTAGTCAACATACAATCATTAACTATTGCCTGGTTAACCTGCAATCATTAACTATGGTAAACCCGTTGCTTATCCATACCAACCAACCACCATCACTTTCAATGTTCATTGAAAATCCTCCCCAAAGTTTGCAAGAAAACAACCCAACGAAGCCCTGATTCCAGACCTGCCCTGGGAAATGTTCTGACTCCTGACCCTTGACCCCTGACCTGTCTCCCACCCTGACCCTTCCTGACCTGTGACCTGTCTGAGCCATGACCTGTCTCCCACCCCTGACCTGTCTCTAACCCCTGACCTGTCTGACCTGACCAGTCTCCCGACCCTGACCTGTCTCTAACCCGACCCTGACCTGTTTGAGTCCCTCCAGCACACTGCTGCCTGGCAGAGCATGAGCGTTGGTGAGGTGCACTAAATACGTGTTATGACTCCTGACTTTTTACCTCTGACCTGTGTCTGACCCCTGCCTGACCCCTGACCTGTTTGAGTCCCTCCAGCACGCCGCTGCCCGGCAGAGCGTGAGCGTTGGTGAGGTGCGCCCAGTCGGCGATGTGGTACAGCCCGTCCCGGTACTGGTGCTGCACCGTGCTCCCGATGTCTGCAAACTTCCTGCAACACAAACGGCACAGAGGGGTTAGGTATGAACCCTGACCTTTCACCCCCAACCTGTCTCCCACCCCTGACCTCTGACTGCCCCCTGACCTGCTGCACCGTGCTCCAGATGTCAGCAAACTTCCTGTAACACAAACAGTTGTGTACAGCCTGTAGTTGGTTCAAACACCACAGCACTGGCTGTGATTTTATCAGGGTAAACTACCTCATCATCATCTACATATAGCAATCAGGTTAGACATCCAGGTAATAAGATACCAAAGTAACAGTTACTCAATCAACTGTTTTTGAAAACGGTTGAAAATGTTTACATGTCAATTCATAGTTTTTGGATGGGTAGACGACTGTTGACTACAGATCTCAAATCTCAATAGTCACTCACGAAAGGTAGTGATATGCTACTTGAACCCCCCCTCCCCCTCGGACCTTTTCAAAATCTATCCAGTTGCTTGAGTAACTGTTACCTTGGTACCTCACCTGTAAGGTGAGTATAAAAGTTACCTGTCCTCAAAGATGATAAACTGGTGCCTGTCGGCCAGCTCTGTAAGACTCTGCACAAACTCAGTGCTGAAGTCAGTCATGATGTCTGCGTGGGTCTTCAGCATGCAGATGTGTGGTCCAACCTGGTCAGCAAGCTGGAAACAACAACAACTATAAACAAGCTGCTAGGGAGCCAAAACCTACATCACATTTTCCCTAGCCCAAGAGCTACCTACATGTACCATCCAAATTTCGTGACCCTAGCATATCAAAAAGTTCAGCTGCAGTACCATTACAAGCCACCAGGGGGGGGGGCCAAAATCATACTAAAGTAGCTTTCATAAATAACCCCACACATTCTTGTTTAAGTTTCCTTGTTTACTACTTTTCATTACTACTTTTCGTTGTTGTAGATAGTATTGTATTGTATTGTATTTTATTGTTTTGTTTCATTTACCCGTTACCAAAGTTATTTCTTATTTATCCGATTTATTTGAATTGTTAATCACGTTATGAAGGGAGGCCTCCTCATAAGCATTTTTATGCTTCCGGCCTCCCTGCACTGTTACATTTCATTTATATTTTCTTGTATCTGTATTGTTACATTTTATTTTAAAGTGCGAATAAAACTGAAACTGAAACTGAGGTCTCATGAAGACCTACCCACCTATCAAATATTGAGACAATCTATCAAAAACGTCTTGAATTATTGTGTTGACGCACATACACACAAAAACATCAATGAAAACCTTCTTGGCAAAACAAAAAGACAGCATTACATGATCTGCCAGCTAAATAACAATACCGGTAAACAAATAAACAACAACAAGTTGTAACCTGCAGAACTTGCTCGGCCGTGCAGAGGTCAGCTGACACGGCCAGGTTGGACTTCTTCTTCTCCATGATGCTGAACAGTTGCCTAGCAACGGGATGCTGACAGAGATCGCCTCGTTCTCTGTAACTCAGGACCTGCAGATGGGAGGATGGAGACTTATCAGCCCTGTAAGGTTTGGCTGTGTATTGACTTTTAGGACTTGTAGTATCTACATATCTTAGAAAATACATTCTGTCGATGTGCTCAATAAAGACATCTTGAATCCTAAAAAAAAGGAAGGCAGAAAACCCAGCATAACATCTTATTAATCCCAATTTAATTTGTTGGTTCTCAGATTCCCCTCTTCATTTTTTTCTGATTTGCAAAAAAAAAAAAGATTTTGGTTCTGAATCAGCTCAAAAATGCTCCCAACAGTTGAGGAAAATCCTTTTCTTCCTAGTTGTTGCAGTTTTTCCATCTATCAATGCAGTGGTTTGATTAAAAGTTCAAAATTCGTTGTTTAAACATTAACCCAGCCTTCTGTGTTGCCTTCATGGCTCCTATCGTAGCATAATAGGATGCCTAGTCCTGTTTTTATTTTCATTTTTTTTTCGCCCTGTAGCTTCATATTTTTTCTGAAAAATCCGAGAACCGACAAATTAAATTGGTGTGGCCTTAACTGTACCTTTCTAGACTTTTTAACGGGCGGCTCCAGCCCCGGCAGGAAGCTGTTGTTCCTGACAAAGTCTCGCACCTGCTCCGCTACCGACTCCGGAATCTTCTCATGTCTCCGCAGGATCTCCAGCAGCTGGGCTGTTCCACAGATGCTGCGGGGGGGATAGGGTTTACTGGGATGTAGTATAGATGCCACGGGTCTCCCCAAAAATTCTTAGCAGGGAAGTGCTCCCTAAGAGGTTGATGAAAAATTAGTGAATTCTCATGAAAATACTAAGAGAAAAGGCTAAATTTGAACATTTTGGAAAGATGCTAGGATTTTGGGGAGAGCTGCACAGACCCTTGTGACAGCTCCACAAAAAAAAAAATTGAGGAGCAAATATTATGTGTTATCATGTGTATTCGTCGATGAAGGTTAGACATCCAGGTAATACGATACGCCAAAAAAAGCAGTTACTCAAGCAACTGGTACCAAGGCGAATGTTATTTACAGACTCAAATGTGAGGAGCCCAATTGTAACAACACCTACATCGGAGAGACAAGTCGACCGCTCAAAGTAAGATACAAAGAACATTGCCGACCTAGTGCCAACGGCTACTCCTCAGCTATTTTCCACCACCTACAACACAACCAGGGTCACTCTTTCAAACTCGAGTCCACGGATATCTTAGACCGCGAAACACGCTGGTGGGAACGGGGTGTTAAAGAGGCAATATATGAAAGAATGTACAACCCCACCCTCAACAGGGAAGGGGGGCTACGGGTCGATCTTTCCGGCACTTGATTTGGCACTCCCAGCCCCGAGAACAGACAACACTTAAGCTCCTGTTCTGTATAACAGGAGCTTTCAGACTAATTTGCATCATCTTGTCTTGACTTGTCTGACTTTTGTTCCTTTTTCGACTTCCAAAAATTTGTCTTCACTTTATTTGCATATCAATCAATAGGTTGTGCTTATAAACCTGTTTTCCCCTCTGGTCTCTCAGTCACTGACGAAAGCTAGTGGATACTAGCTGAAACGTCTGACGTTTTCAAAATCATATCCAGTTGCTTGAGTAACTGCTTTTTTTTGGCGTATCATGTGTATTATTTGATTGTTATGATTTGTCTTGATTATTATGTGATACCCTGCATCAATTCAGCCGTTAAAGGCTGCAACTGCAGGGTACTGTTTGGGCAATAAAAAAAAAGGAGTACTGATGATGATTCTTAATTCCTTACCCCTTGAGTTCTATCCCAGCCTCCTTCAGCTTCTGTTTCCCGCCCTGCTCTCTGTCCAGCAGCACGACGGCATCTGTCACCACCAGACCCACCGACTCCAACACCTGCAGGAAACATGGGGAGTAAACCTCTACAGTACTAAAACTCCTGCACCTAAGACATAATGTGTAAGGACATATCTAATATACAATAAAGCCTGTTCATCTACGATGACCAGACCTACTGACTCCCAAACCTGCAGAAAAATACAAATTGTCCAAACCTAGTGATGGACAGGTGTAGTTGTCTCCGCATCCCTCGTTGTCAGGCAGACAGAATACTTCAGGTGATTGAGCCTGTCCACCCCCGTGTAGACTCTAGTTGGTATCGCCCAAAGTTGAAGGGTCACCCTCCCTGCGCATGCGCACCAGTCTAAAGTTTTTCAGCTCCACCTGGCCGAAGCCCTCTCGGGATGGGTCGTGCCGGAACTCGTGGAGAACCGCACCAGTCAGGGAGGGTGTCTGCCTGACAACGAGGGATGCGGAGACAACTACACCTGCCCATCACTAGGTTTGGACAATTTGTATTTGTCTACCGCATTCCCTCTTATGTCAGGCAGACAGAATACTTCAGGTGAGATTTGTAGCTGCTGAGGCCAGGACGTTCTTCCGAATGAAGCTGACCCCACCGGTCTGTTGTAGAATTTCTTAAAAGTAGAAGCTGTAGACCAATTAGCTGCTGCTAGAATGTCCTTGGTTGATACGCCTTGTCGTGCCGCAGCAGAGACAGACGCCCCTCTAGTTGAGTGTCCGGTGAACCTTGAGGTGTCGATCCCGGCCTCTTGTAACACAGTTCTTAGCCATCTAGCGATGGTAGACGTAGATACCGCCTGGTGTGGCTCCACAAGAGCTCTAAACAGAATACTGTCGCACAAACGAAAACTTCTAGTTCTTGATACATACGCTTTCAGGTATGTTACCGGGCAGATTCTTC